CCTCCTCCTCCTTCTCTTTCTCCTACTTCTTCTTTTTTTTTTTTTTTTTGAGAGATAGGGCCTCACTCTGTCACCCAGGCTGGAAGGCTGGAGTGCAGTGGCATGATATGACTCACTACTGTAACCTTGAACTCCTGGGCTTAAGCAATCCTCGCACCTCAGCCTCCCAAGTAGGCAGGATGACAGACCCACACTGCCACACCCAGCTAATTTTCTTATTTTTTGTAGAGCTAGGATTTTGCTATGCTGTCCAGGCTGGTCTTGAACTCCTGGCCTCAAGTGATCCTCCCTTGGCCTCCCAAAGTGCTGGGATGATAGGCATGAGCCATCACACCTGGTTTGCTCATGCATTATTCTATCAGTGCAATCATTTATTCATGCAACAAATACTTACTGAGCATTCAGTCTATGCAAGACATTGTGTTTCAGAACGGGACAGATGAAGCATATAAGCTGCTTGGTAGAATGAAGCAATCATTCACACAGCAGAGCGTCTTGTGATGGGAGTTTTACTATCGTACTACTGCTGCTTCACTGATAGTGCTTATACAGCATTCAGTTTGTGCCAAATGTTTTAAATGCTTTACACGGATTTGCCTTTTTAGTCATCGCAACAACCCTCAGAAGTAAATAATATTATCATCCCCAATTCACACATGAAGGAACGGAGGCACAAAGAGGTGAAATAAGTGATAGAAATACATTAAGTCAGGATTCCAGCCCAGGCAATGTGGCTCCACAATACAAAGTGTTTAGTTTTAAGAAAATGTACTACATCCTTACCTTGAGATCATAAAAGTTATCGATGAGAGTTATGAATCTTCGACCTTGAGTTCTGTTTGCCAGAGTAAATTGCGGAATGTTTCGTAAAAATATTGTATCAAAATTCTTTGATAGTTCCAAATAGTCACTGGCTCCAAGTGGCTATGATTAAAATGAAATAAAGAAAATTAAAAAATAAATCAATTCTGGTTGCCTTTGGATTAGTTTAGTGTGAAAACACCTCTTTCTTGTCACGGTGTGATCTAGGTGGTGGCTTTGGGTAACTTGACCAAATGGGGCAGTGTTTTCAGAGTAGGCTAAGGACACAGACAACGTACACTGTGTTGCCTTAATAGTGATGTAAAAAAGGGGTAAGAGAGAAGACGAGTGTGGTGGGGAGTTAAAGAATATCTCTAGCCACAGCCTCAGCTGGTACTCTTTAGGTCTCTGTCCATATTTTTATTTCTATGACATCACTTTAAACATGTTCTAATAAATCCTTCCCGTGACTCAACTGCAAACTGCCAGTATTGGTCAATGGAGCTATTTGATAACGGCATGCTGAAGATTATACCGCCATTTTGAAATAAAGACTGTGCGTCAGTATGAAAATTATCAGAAATTATTTTTAGTTTAATTTAAGGTACAATTATTCAAGTGCAACATTGCTAACCTCTGTAGGAAATACTGAAGGGCTTAAGTGAGCAGGAGCAGATGAGAGCCCCAGAAAAACTGGAGGCAGGGCACTGCCTCTTGATACGAGGAGAATTTGGGACTCAAGGTCCACAATATTATTCATAAAAGTGCCACCTACAAATGTAAAGCACTTGTTTCTGAACATGAATTTAACTCCTGAACATTAGGAACACGATCTGCAAACACATTATTTGGGGTTAGGAACACTCCCAGGAAATGTTACCTCTGCTCGTTTTAAGCTGCCTGTGGATGACTATACTCTGTGAGCAGCAAACCATGAGCACATGTTGGGAGAGTGTTTCTGGCCCTGCTGGAGTCGGGAGAAGGCAGAGACCGAGTGGCCCAGGAGCTGCTCTGAAGTCCCTCTGGAAGCTTCTGGGTTACCCTGACCGACCTCTAGGACACAGGTGGCTGAGCCTCCTCAGTTTCTGGCAGAATCCATCATTACTCCTCCCTGCCCAGAAATGTCTATCTCATTTGGGAAGTCCTTTGCATGAAACTTCTTTCAGAAATGTTGATAAGGCGATATTCCTGGGAGAATTAGGAAACCGTGAGGAGGAGGAGAGTCATTCTCACCTTTGTCCATTCACTTAAGCCTACCACTGTCCTACCAACCAGCTGAAATCAGTTATGCTCAGGAAAGAAGAATTTGCATAGAGGTGTGGGGAGGTACAAGTGGGAGGTACAAGTAAATCCAGAGAGTTAGGTTCTGGAGAAGTGGTTCCCTACATAGAGAGCAGTTCTAAGAAGGATGCAGCGATTATGCGACCTAGGCAATGGGCACAAAACCAGAGACAAAGAACACCAAGAATGACCCGAGTCCTTTGGAAATGTGCTGACCGTGCCCCTTCCTCCCATCTCTTCTCACCAACCAGCTAACAAATGGTGGCCAGGAGGAGGCAACCTCCGCCCTTCCCATTTTCCTTCCCTGGCTGGAGAGCCTCTACCTCCAGACCCTGTGCCGGGCCTTAGCTGAGACAAGCCGGAGGGTTCCAGTGTGCTGTGGGTTTTTCTGGGAGTGGGGTGGGGTTGGTTTAAACTTGCTTCTCTTCCAAAAGAATCCTGCTATTGAGCCCAATACAGACCAGGAGCACGTGTTACTAGAGAAGCTGGGAGTGAGGGCTCTGGAAGGCCTGGATCTGACTCCTCAGTTGCTACTTATCAACTGGGTGTCACTGGCAAGTTACATCATCTTCCTGTTCCTTAGTTTTCTCATTTGTAAAATGGGGATTTGATTCCTATCTGACAGAATTGTGAGGATTAAATAAAATAATACATGCAAAGCATTTAGCACAGTGCCTGGGGCATACATTAGTATTCAAACCATCTTAGTGACTTTTATTTTTATTATTTTGAGCTCAAATGATTGGGCTCAGTACAAATGAATTGAGTATGTCATTCTCAAGAGGAATCCAAGACCCTAAATCAGCCTTTGTGCACTTGTCTGTCTTGGGAGTCACAGCAGGCACCAGATGAGACTGTAGAATCACCAAATAGTGAAAACAATCCCCGAAAGGGAGAGAGGGGAGGGCAAAATACGGTGTCTTTTTGTAAAAAGGAAAACTCATACATTAAGACTCTCATGCTCTGAAGGTACACTACTTTTTTTGAGATCAGTTAGGATTTAGTGTCTCATCTTGTGTAAACCAGAAAGTATATGTAAAACAATGTAAAACCTCACATTAGGTATGTAGTTATGTATAATTAAGCTCACTCTTTATGCATGGATGTGATTTCTATCAGAATAACTACATGCCCAAGGAAAATCATTATCAGAAGTGCACTGAAGTGCCCAGGGCAACTGAAAATCAGAATTTTGCCCATTCAGCTATTTTACAAATTATACACCTTTGGCAGTAGGTTCTGCAATTGCCATTATATTAGCAACTATTCCTTCCCCTCATATCCCTAAAACAATTACATACTCATTCACATAAAGAAAACAAAGCTCAATAGAGTTATCTGTCTCCTTTCAAGACAACCGTCATTGGGCGAATGTGGAATTGTTGTTTAATACATTCAGTTTAGGATGAGGAAAAAGTTCTAGAGGTAGACAGTGTTGATCACTGTACAACGATATGAATGTACTTAATGCCTCTGAACTGTACACTTAGAATTAGTTAAAATGGTCAATTTTATGTTATATAGTATTTTACTACAATAAAAAAAAGTCATTCAAACAAGGAGAGGTTAGTCGTTGCCAAAGAGATCTCTCTCAATTTAAGCCATGAAGAGATAGCAATATTACTTTTTTCTTTAAAAACATGAGAAAGAAGAATGAAATGTATTAATCAAAGAAGGAAGTTTCCCCCCCGCCCTCAAAAAAAAATCAGGTCCAATAAGAATAGGACTAATTTAAAAGAATGACATTTTGGTTTTTAATAAATTCATGGGTAAGCATATTTCTAAAAAGAAAAGTTCAAAAAAGTAAAAAATAAAAAAGAGAATAATAAATAGGAAAGATAAACAAGAAAAACAATTCAGTTGGCTCTCCATATCTGTGGGTTCCACATCTGCAGATCCAACCAACTGCCGATCAAAATATTTGAAAAAAATATATAACACAAAAACCAACACAAATATTAACAAGTAATACATTATAACAACTATTTACATAGCATTTACATTGCACTAGGTATTATAAATAATCTGGAGATAATTAAAGTATAGCAGAGGAAGCCAGGCCCAGTGGCTCATGCCTGTAATCCCAGCACTTTGGGAAGCTGAGGTGGGTAGATCACTTGAGCTCAGGAGTTGGAGACCAATTTGGGCAATATAGTGAAACCCCATCTCTACAAAAGATACACAAAGTTAGCCAGGGGTGGTGGTATGTGCCTGTGGTTGCAGCTACTCAGGAGGCTGAGGTGGGAGGATCGCTTGAGCCTGGGAGTCTGAGTTTGCAGTAAACTGAGATCACCACCATTGCACTCAAGCCTGGTCGTCTGAGACCTTGTCTCAGAAACAAACAAAAAATACGGGAGGATGTGCATGGGTTATATGCAAATACTACTCCATTTTATATCAGGGACTTCAGGATCTGCAGATTTGGTGTCTGTGGAAGGTCCTGGAACCAATTACCCATGGATACAGAGGGGTGACTGTACTTTAAAGTAAACCAGTCAAAATCCATGACACAGCCCAGGTCAATATGCTCCCATTTATAGCATGTCTTAATTTTAGCAATTTTTTCCCATGTAGGGATGATGACTAGCGTGTTGTCAGTATTTTTCTCCATAAATGTCAGACAATATCAAGTACATCTACGTATGTATATTGCCTCTGCTCCATTACTTTCTCTTCTCCTTCTGATACTTTAAACGAACCTAGGTTAAATGTCATACTCTCCTTTTATCCTTTATTTTGTATATTTCTTTATTACTTCTCCATGATTCATTTTGGATAGTTTTTCTGATCCACTGTGATTCTCCTTAGCTGTGTTTAATCTGCTCTTAAGCTCATCCCTTGAGCCCTTAATTTTGGTTACTACACTTTGTAGCTCTAGAATTTCCACTGATTCTTTTTCAAGTTTGAGATGTCTCTTTTTGTTATCTCTAGATCTCTTCTGAAGCATAGTTCCAAGTCCATTTTTTTAAAAAAAAAAAAAAAAAAAAATCCAAGCTCAGGGCTTGAGGTTTTCTAAGTATTTAGCTGAAAATCTGGCTGAAGTCCATGAGAGGGCTGGCTTATTTCTGCTTTATGCTAATTCCTAAGTGCAGTGCTTCAGGACTTCAGGATGAAATCTACTCCGGACTTTATCCAAAATTGGGGAGACAGGCAGTTAAATAGGTTCCCATCCATGGATGGCCCTGGTCTCTGACTTTTGTCCCACTAACACAATAAGGCTGCCAAAAGTAAGCTCAGTTCACCTCATTTTGAAAACAAGATTGCTTAGTACATACCAATATCCATGTTTTTCTCTTCTTTCTGGCCACACAGATAGACTACGGGCACCCTTCATTTTATTGTGCTTCATTTTACTGCATAAATTCTGAAGATACTTTTGTTTCGTTTACAAATTGAAGATTTGTGGCAACTCTGCATCAAGCAAGTTTGTTGGTGATATTTTTCCAACAGCATGTGCTCACTTCATGTCTCTGTGTCACATTTTGGTAACTGTCACAATATGTCACACTTTTTCATTATTATTATATCTGGTATGGTGATCTGGGATCAGTGATCTTCCATGTTACTGTTGTAATTGCTTTGGGGTGCCACGAACCACACCCTCATACGACGGTGGACTTAATTGACGCATTTTGTGTGTTCTGACTGCTCCACCACTGGCTGTTCCCCCATCTTTCTTTCTCTCCTCAGGCTTTCCTATTCCCTGAGATACAACAATATTAAAATTAGGTCAATTAATAACACTACAGTGGTCTCTGTGCTCAAGTGAAAGGAAGAGTTGTACATCTCTCATATAAAAGCTAAAGCTAGAAATGATTATGCTTAGTGGGGAAGGTATGTCA